GTAAATACATGTCTATAAATTATTCATTAATAGAATGGCCTAAAACATTTTTTTGTCCTTTCAATATTACTTTATTCATCCACTACATTTATAGCCCTATCTTCATGCTAACGTCCTATAATTACCCTCAGGGGGTTATTGTGAAATTAAACCAACCCTGTCCACATATGTTAGAAAGCCCCATATCAGTAGAAGAGAATATATGTAGCTCAGGGTTGAACTGTGGAGTCCTTGGGGTTCTCTGAGCTTGGTTGTTTTCTTGCAAACATTTCAGCTAGCAATGAAGATGTTTCTTAGTCAGGTAATGAAACATTTGCAAGAAAAAAACTAAGCTCAGAGAACCCCAAGGACTCCAAAGCCACATATGTATAAAGCCTGCCCATTATAACCTTTGGCTACCAAGATTGTTCACTCCAGCTTTAGATTAAGTCAGATCACAGTTCTTCAAAATCCTATCCTTGAACATAGGGTTTTTTTTTTTTTTGCGGGGGATGGGGTTCACCTAGACTAAAACATGTAAATTGATTAAAAAGATGTCTCTGAATCCTCCAAATTATTGCAACGTAACAATAATGCAATCATTGCTGTTACCTACATTTCTTTAGAATCACCACTTTTTATTATTTCCAACCTGATAGAATGTTATAAATAAATTAGGTAAAAGGTCTTTCAACAGGATACTACTCCCCAAAAATGAACAGAATGAATATTGGAAAGAAATTATGAAAATTTCTGACGGCCAGCAGGATAACTCTCTGAAAAATGAGCAGAACAGGACCACACCTAGTGTAGGGGGAGAAGCTGGCAAAAGGAAGAACAAGTTTGAAAATGAGCCAGATCCAGCTGGAATTGCAAAAAAGAAAGAAAGAAAAAGAAAAATCCAGGGAAAAAAAATCCACTAATGCACCCCTATAGGGAGCAGCTGGATAGCAGTTTGGAATGTGGCTGAGTCCTCCATTCTATGCCCCTCTCTTCCAGTCACATGACCAGAGCAGAAGTATTATTAAATGGCTGGAAGAAGTCCCAGAAATCTTGCTCTGTATATTTTCCCTACCTCGTTTAATTAATCACTAACAAAAACTCTTCCTCTTCTTTCTTCTTTTCAGTAATTGCCAAATTGAATTATTGGCCAAGCTAATAGAAGGAAATCATCATCATCATCATCATCATCATCATCATCATCATCATCATCAT